CCTCTTCTTTCTTTTCTTCTTCTTCTTCGTTTTGAACACAGGAGAAGCAGAGGTGAGAGAGAGAAACAGAGGCGAGAGCTCGTCGTCGTCGCAGCTCGTCGGCCGATCGTTACATCGCAGCCCCGCCTCCGCCTCCAGCCCGATTTTGATGGCCCCTCCAGTTCTTCTTCTCCTTCTACTTCTTCTTCCTTCTTCTCTTCTTCTTTTTCTTCCTCCTTCTTCCTTCTCAAATTCGAGCCAAATTCGGCTCGAAACCCTTTTGGGCTCTGTAACAGGGCTAAAAAAAAAAATCAAACGGTCATAAATTAGTAGTAACGGTCATAAAAAAATTTAAACAGTCATAATTTAAACGGTAATATATATATATTATAAATTTATTTTACTCTTTCAAACTACTATAAATATCCTTCATTTTTTAAAATAAATCTCACAAATAATTCTCTCTCACTCTCTCTTAAATTCTCTCAATCTCTCTTAAACTCTCGATCTCTCTTAACTCTCAATTAATTTTGAAGTGTCATTCTTAAGTGACAATTGCAATTGTGCTATAAGAAACTTTTATCAAAATAAGCTAATTTATGTGTTGCATTCGTTAGTTGGTAACATTAATTAGTTTAATTAAATTTATTGGCTACTCATTTTTTTCATTAATTTTTTGTGCACATATGTTAATTATTATTTTTTACTCATTGTATTTACACATTATTTAAATTAATTGTTAATTCTTATATATTATTTTACTTACATTACTATGTACCCTAATATTGCTAATGTTTATGTCGATGTTGATACAGATATTACACAACATGAATATGTTGATTCTCCTTCTAATATCCCTCTTCCAACAGTTGGATCATCATCTAGGAGCATAAGTAATAGTGTTTGGGAACATTTTGAAAAAATATTTATAAATATTGTGCACATTTACTTAGTGTTATATCTGCAAGGGTACTAGTCATCTAAAAAAATATGGTAACAAACATTTACAAAGCTAATAACCTGATATTCGAAGTCAAATGCAATTAGGGGTTTCATCAACTGGTAAATTTGTAAATATTTTCATATGATCCTATATGTGCACAAAATTCTGTAGTTGATTATATTATTAAAAAAATAACCTTTTACTACGAGTGAATATTCCGATTTTTTTTTTTTGTTACAGGAAAATCCTCCCACTCTCCCGCAGGTCCAAGGCAGCGCCCCTTGAGGAGATCACCAGGGTGTCCTGTTGTCCATTCCGTGTAAGAGACTATAACCTGGAAGCTTGTCCCGACCTCCCAAGGCAAGCTCCGCTTAAGTCAGGACTCGCACAGCGGGGGAGAATTAAACCCACACCAAGTAGCTGATAAGGCATCCTTGAGGTCAACCTCCTAACCAACTGTGCTACGCCCAGGAGATTGGCCCAGAGGGGAGTTGAACCCAGGACCTAGGAGCTTAAACCCCAGGCCCTTACCAGGTTGCCACTCACCCCTGGGTTGAATATTACGATTTTATCGAAATGCTTCACGAAAGTTTTGTACCGTAATATTAAAGTTTTTCAAGAAATACTACAAGAAACATAATTTTAAAGAAATTTGAGGATGTTAAAAGTGAATTATTTGATATCTTTAAAAATTGGGAAAATTACAAACACCCCATCGAGGTTTGGTGAAAATACAAATTCCCTCCTGAGGTTTGAGAAATTACATCCCGCCCCCTGAGGTTTTTATTTTCATACAGATTCCCCCCTAATTTCCCCTAATTTGTTATGAAAATTTGACCCTCAGGGGGCAATTTGTAATTTCTCAAACCTCAGGGAGGAATCTGTATTTTTACCAAACCTCGAGGGGGGTATTTGTAATTTGCCCTTAAAAATTTGAATGGAAGAGGAAGAGTTTGTTTAACATTTGATCTGTGGTCAAACAATGGTTTTGAATATCAATATATCACTGCACATTTTATGGATAATGATTGAAAATTAAATAAAAGAATTATTTCATTTAAATTAGTTGAACTTCCATACACTGGTCATTCACTTCGTGTAAAAATAAGAAATGTATTATATGAGTGGCCTTTACAAAATAAAATATTTACGATTAGTTTAAATAATGTAGCATATTATAATCAAATTGTATCCCATTTAAAATCAATTTTATAATTATTTGTTGATGGTGATTTATTTCATGTTCGTTGTTGTGCCTATATTTTAAATTTGATTATTAAAAAAGTTATGTATGTATACGAGACTTCTGTACTTGTAATAAAAAATGCAGTCGTTACTATTATGTCTTCTACTAATCGAATTTCGAAATATAGAAAAATTTGTCAACGAGAAAAATGTCATTTAAAAAATTAATTTTAGATATAGATAGTAGGTGGAATTCAACATATAATATGTTAAAAATAGCTTGTAAACAAAGAAGAGTAAAAGATTTATTTTTTGCAACAACATCAATAAGAGGAATACTGACTCTCACAGAATTTGATTGGCGCTAAGTAGTCTTGTATAAAGATTTTTTTAAAGTTTTTGATACTTCAACAAAATTATTTTCTTATATATACAAATTCTTACTTCACTATTTGTTTTACATATGCTAGCAGAAATAATTAAAATTTTCGTAAAATATATTGGTAATGAATATTATGTAACCATTATTACTTCAATGAAAGTAAAATTTGATAAATATTTTGATCATTTGCCTCATGTATTAGGTTTAGCCATAATAATTAATCCTAGGCGTAAGAAATTGGTTTACAAGAATTTTTAGAATGTATGTTCGTTGATCAAACACAATTTGCTCCTATTATGCAAATATGCAATAGATTATTTGAAGAATACAAGGCAACTGCATCTATAAATATACCTACACACATTACACTAGCATTTTCATCTCAAGGAGGGAGATTAAGTGTTTTTTCAGTAATAAAAAGTAGAAGAATATCTCAATGTACAAGTGTAAATAGTTCTGAACTACAATGCTATTTGGAAAGCCCGTTAGTGGATGATTTCGATGATTTTGACGTTTTGGAATGGTGGAAACAAAATGAAACTTTGTGGCCTGTGGTTTCACAGATGGCTCGTGATATACTAACTGTTCATATTTCTATAGTTGCTTCGGAAGCAACTTTTAGTGCAGGTGGACGGGTGTTGAGTGATTTCCGGAGTAGGCTTTCATCCGAAATGGTTAAGGCACTGATGATATTCAGAGATCATATGCATGCGCTTACAAGAAGACAAAATTATGGTAAAAAGGAACAAATTCAAAATGATTTGGATGACATATCCTTGGGCAACGCGATTGAAATGTCTGTATCCTCTGATGATTGATCAATAATTTATTTTTTTACAATTTCATTTCATTTTTTTTTATATTAGATTATTGAGGTGGAGTATAACGCAAATGACTGGTAGGTTAGTAGGTGCCAACCTAGTTGGGATGTACTTGACCTATAATGATGCAATTGTTGTACCATCATCAATAATTTACACATATTTTATTTAATAATATCAATTTTTGTAATATTTTATTTCATTTTGAAATAAAAATTATTCATTCAATAAATGTTATATAAATAATTTAATATTGTAATATTGAAAGTTTCATTTTCATATATATAAAATTATTCATTTTGAAAGAAAAAAATTCCATAATTGCATATTTTTTAGTTATAAGTTCATAATTAAAAAAATATAAGTCATACATAATTAAATTTAAATATCATCATAAAACATAACCAAACAAAACATCTCATTAATCTTAACTAAAATACTTTAGTATAATTTTTCTTTTATTTTTTTATTTCTAATAAAAAAAAGGCCCAGCCTGCGACTCTATTATGAGTGGGCTTGGGCCTGGGCTTGGGCCTCACTTTTTGACCCATAGACCAGCACGACCTGACCCACTAAAAAAGAGAGAGCCCACGAGGCTCGCTTGAGCCGAGCCCAGACCATTATTACATCCCTAACCATAACATAGCTATTTTCAACTCATACTTGTATTGTAGAATTTCCTGTTCCTGTTACAGTAATGCCCATAATGTCATTATTCTAGATAAATTAGGTCAAGTTTGACAAGTTGAAAAAAAGTCAAAAAGCTAAAAAGTTACTCAAAAAGTTAAAAAGTTATCACTATTCACCAAAAGTCAAAAATTACGGCTGCACAACTCCCAATCCTAATTTTCCCCTAACACTAATTTATACAATTTTTGAATACACATTTTTCCATAAAAAGTCAAAAAATTAATCAAAACATCCATATTTTTTTCCTCAATTTTTTAGTCCAAAAAGACAAAAAATACACTTATTTAAGACACCCCAAACATCTTCTAAATACAAATATCACAGGAATTGGTCTAGAGAAATAAATACAATTATCACAGAAATTGGTGTGTCTCCAATTAGACAGTCCAATCCGGGCAAATGGACTTAATTTTAGATTTTATTTTGATAATTTAAATAGTTTATATTTTAAAATTTATTAATTATTTTATTAATATAAAAAATTAAATTGATCAAATAATAAAAACTAAGTATTTAAATTAATTTCGTATAAATTATTTATTTTCTAACCGTCTATTTTTTTAAATACAAAACTCATCTAACTATATAATTGCTATTATCTAAGTAATTTAGTTTTTTTTACGGAAATAATATATTCAATCAATTTTAAAATATGAACCGTTTAAATAATGAGGGCTAAGACCATCGGGATTGGTAGCCTAGTGATGAAGATATTGCGTTCTTACACTGAGTTAAGTTCTACTCCTAAAGAGCGCGAAATATTAAATTTTTCAATGGCTCTTTTTTGAAATTTTATACTATATTTCAATCGAATCTTGACCCTACTCTGATGGTATGTCCCTTTCTTTAAATTGAATTAAATCAGATCGACAACCGATTGTCTTAAAACTTGAATTTATAGATTTCGTGATGACATGTCAAAACAATTTTTTTTTTTGGTTAAAAAAAGAAAAAATCAGGGGCTGAGAACATCACTCTAGTGGAGTGGAGAGAGAACTCTAGTGGAGGAGAAGCCATGGTCATCACTAGTCATCAGCTCTATCGCTTCACTTGAGTTTCGTTAACATGTCGCCGACTCATACAACGTACTGTTGCAACCCCCACTCATCCAACCGTCCAATCCATATCATCTATATATGGATCTCCAAATTCCAACACAGAGGGCCAGAGTATATTTGGCACTCACTCACTCTCTCTCTATCTCTCTCTCGTAGAGACCCAGTTCCTTCAAAGCTCAGCAATGGCGTTTTCGTCCTGGTTCTCTCGTTTACGTTCTTCATCAAAACCCATTTACACTAACCTCCGATATTCTCTGAATAGGACCCAAACCTCTCACATTACACAGACCCTGATTCCAGACAAGAAACAAACACCAATCCTTTCATGGGTTTGCTCTTTGCTTCCAATCGCCATCGCTGTCTCTGCTGGATCACTTTCTCTCCAGACCCAGAACAACCCATCACTCTGTGATGCCTCCAATCTTGATCATGGGTATTTAATTCATTCAACCCATTTCATACTTTTTTATTTTTTATTTTTTGAATTTTATATGTTTTGTCTGATATAATATGTTGTGTCCACTTTCAAATACTCAATTGGGTCGATGAAAAATGTGGAATTGGTTTAGATGACTGTATGGAAATTAAATTATTCGGTTGTTTTTCCAGAGGTGCGAGCTTTGGGGGCAAGGGTAGCACAGAGTATGTGGTGAAGGGTTCTCACAAGGATGTTCCGCAAGAGCTTATTGATGAATTGAAAGCTATTTGCCAAGTATTCTATCACTTCCCTCTTCATTATTAGTATCGTATAAATTTTGGAGACTTCTTGGGTGTTGCTCATCTTAATTTTCTGCATATAAATATTCTACTCAACGACTATAAAGTGAACGGTTTGGATCACCAGGTCGGCCCCAAAATGGGCGCACCAAGCCCAAAGGTTCTCGGAAGTTGCGATGGCGAACCTCCAAACCCTTGCTTTTGCCTTGATGTTTTGTGCAGTTTCGGTTTAGGCTGCTTCTAGTTGTTAGACTACCATTTGTATTATTTGCATCGCCTTGATGCCTTTTAATAAAGTTGGTTTATTTATCAAAAAAAAAAAAACCCTTTTTGTTATATTCTGTTGAGAATTTGCCATATTTACTTCACAAATGATTATTTCTCATAATTTTCTACAATCCTCAGCAATCAAAATAGCATTGATTATTTTTATTATTATTATTACTTTTGAATTGAAATATAAAGTGCTTTAGTAGATGTTTAATATTCTGTTGGGAATGGACACATTTCATTGTGCAGGATAATATGACAATGGATTTTGATGAGAGGTACTTCCATGGGAAACCACAAAATAGCTTCCACAAAGCAGTGAATATCCCTGATGTGGTAGTTTTTCCAAGGTGAGATTGGGCTTTTTTTAACTTGGAAACTATAATATCGTTTATTTCTATAATTCGGCACTTGTATTTATTTTCGTTATTTTCCATTTTTGTTGCATTGGTCCCAGTTTACACCATGAGCTTGTCCAATCAAAAGAAATGGTACAATTTATTTGTTCACTGAATGCTCATAATTGATATATTGCTTCTGTTTTCATCCACTCTTGAGAAAATCTATGTATGATGCAGTTCCTATTTTAGCTATTGATAGTGGACATAGACTTGACTCGTGTCTTGAATTTGTTCATTATTGATTCATAGGCTTTTACTTCAACATTTCATGATATCCGAAGAATTTTCATCTAACTTGAAATAATACATGCAGTCCTTGGTGTTAGTTTGGTTGTTATCACGAATATGAGACACGGGATAAGACTGTCTATTGTAAAGATGGTTCATCAAGCTATTTATTAGTAGTCCTTTTCTCCATTTTCTTGTGGTCTGCTCAGTAGTACATTGTGTAGTGTATCCTAGTTTTCTCTCCAAAATGCACCTTAACTGCAGTTTGTGCATGCAGGACTGCAGAGGAAGTGTCCAAGATAGTCAAATCTTGTAACAAGTATAAGGTTTGAGCTCCTTGTTTTTGAGGGTTGTCTGATTTTTCTCTTTTTCTTTCAATTGTTTCTTATTGTTTTTCAGTTGCTAATATATAAAGTGAATGGGTAAATTTTCTTTTATAGTTTGGGGTTATTGGATTCTTCAAACTGATAATTATTTGTATCCATTCATTAGGCATGAAAATCCAAATTTGAAATGCCGAAAAGAACCAAATGTAGGGGTGCTCGGGCAATAAATCCAATTTTATATTTTTTTGTCCAAAGGTTCAGTGCTAAAATAATATGTCTTTAAGGACAATCTCTCACAAAACGACTAAAATACCCCAAGGTATATATACATCATATACACTCTCAACCTCATTTTCCAAATCTGACTGTCTCCTCATCCTCCTCTCTCTCTCTCTCTCTCTCTCTCTCTCTCTCTCTCTGTGTGTGTGTGTGTGTGTGTGTTCCCCTTCTTTTATCATCTTCATCTCTCTCTCTTTAGGGTTTCTTCACGCAATGATTTCTCTCTCCTCCTTCTCTACCATCGCTGCTGCTGACAGCGACATCTCCACCGCCATTATCGCATGATCTCGATGTCTCCACAGCATGATCTCAGTGCTGGATCCACCACCGCTACCGCCGTGTCCACCTCCGGCGAAGTCGATGTCGATGAAGTCTTAGTGGAAGCACCGTCTTTATGCCAGCCCTCGGCGGCGCCGACCGATGCGGACCGAGGGGAGGTTGCAATTCTCAGATCTACTAGCAAGTCTCTCCAAGCCCTTGCAAGTCTCAGATCTACGTCCATTGCACCCGATTTGCCTGATGACCTCGATGACCACATCGGCAAAGGGTTCAGCAATGAAACGGAGAATGACGGAGCTATTGCACTGTGCACTTTTGGATCCATAGATACATATATATAGTTATTTTCATACATGAAATCTCATATATGTATCTATATAATATATATAGTTATTCCTTGGATCTATATATATATATATATGTTTGTTTTCTGTTTTTTTTTTCCCTTCTGTCCATAGATATATATATAGTTATTTTCATACATAAAATCTCATATATGTATCTATATAATATATATAGTTATTCTTTTGATCTATATATATATATATATGTTTGTTTTTTGTGTTTTTTTTCCCTATTGTGTATGTGTATGCTTTTTTATTTGATTCTTTGGTGTTGTTTTTGTTTTTATTTTGTTTTGTTTTGTTTTTGTTGTGTTTGTTGTGTAGATCTGTTGATGATATATATATATATCTATCTGTTGTTGTTTTGGTGAGAAAGAATTTTAACAGATAAGAGATTTGGCAAAATTTTTTAAATAGATAATGGAATTGAACAAATAAAATTTGTACAAATATGAAAATTTTGTACCGATAATATTTGAAAATTTGTCCTATTTTGGATCTATGTATATCTGTGTAATATTTGAGTGCTAGTTTCAACAGATAAAGAAATAAAATTTGGATAGGTAAAAAATTGAACAGATGAAAATTAGAACAAGAATTAGCAATATTTCAACAGATAATAGGAAAAAACCTAAACAGATAAAAAAAAAAAAAGGTTTGAATGTCAACAAATTAAAAAAATTTCGAACAAAAATTCTAACATATAGGAAAAGATAGGATAAGAATTTCAATTCAACAGATAAAATTTTGTATAGATAGAAAAAAAAAAAAAAAAAGAGGCAAGAATTTGAACAGGTAGACAAAAAAAATTGAACAGATAAAAACAATTTGAACTAATAGATATAAATTTGAACATATAGTCAACGAAAAGTTAACTGATAAAAAATTCAACAGATAAATTAAGGGGTAAAATTGGAAACAAAATGTTCTCAAAAATCAATAAAAGGACTTCTCACCTATAAAAAAAAAATTCACTAGACCTAATACATTAGACATTTGCTAGAGTGGATTTTTCACCAATTTTCTCCAAGTATAATGCTTGCTTTTTACTTAACGTATACATATTCACTATAAATAATTTTGGCCAACTTACACAAGTTATAAACTGGCTTATTTATTTGAACTTTTCTTTTATTTTTTTATATAATTTATTTTCTGGTTTAATTTGATGAGCAGGTCCCTATCGTACCTTATGGTGGAGCCACATCAATCGAGGGTCATACCTTATCACCTCATGGAGGTGTTTGCATTGACATGAATTTGATGAAAGTATGAGCCTCTTTCTTGTTATAAATCACGTCACATGACTCTAAGGCCCGTTTTATCAGTAAAATTTAGTTTATTGACATTCATTAATAACTTGATTTTGTTTTCGCTATCAACCCATACATTTTGGTGCTTTCTAATGCATTTTAATCTCAACATAGGGTTCACATATGTTTGTTTTATAACTGAGGTTATTTTGATTACTTTTCTTAGGTCTATTTTGGCCCTTTGGTGATATAATGTGTAGTTCATGTCACTTATGTTTCACTAGGCCCATAGACCCCATTTGTAGATTTTGGCTCAATCAATAAGGCCTACTGGTTTCATGTTAGTGGTGAAGCTTGTGCAGGCTCACCTTATTGCGCTACTTCCGGTCTGTGCGGTCTCCGATATTTTTTGGGCATTATTCTTTTCTCTATGCTGTTTATCTAATATTTATGTGCGATAATTCATTATTATACTGTCTTTCTGCTATGCATGGAATTAATCTCTTTCATGTACATTACTTGGAATACAATTTAAGATAGTTTATCGGGATGGGAAGGCAGCATAGCTATAGTATGGAATTATCTATGAGGAGAAATGTGTGAGCTTCATTGAATTGATTATTATTTTCAATGAATCATTATAGCAGTTAGATTGCATCTCTTGCATTATCCCTTGCTGTTCCTTACTTTTGTTGCATTTACATTTAAATTGTAGAGAGTCAAATCATTACATGTTGAGGATATGGATGTGGTTGTTGAGCCTGGGATTGGATGGATGGAGCTTAACGAATACCTGGAGCCTTATGGTCTATTCTTTCCTCTTGACCCTGGTCAGTTTTTAATTTTTCTGTTTTATGTTTCAATATAATTTGTGATGTCAAGACATTGTTCTCTAATAAATGCCAAGGCATCTTTGGCTTTTATCAAAGCAATGCACAATGATTTGGTGCTCTCTGTACAACTGATAAAATCTATGTTGCATTGGAAATCGACCTGGCTTCACGTTTAATGCTGAGCTTTAGAGAGAAACAAAGGGAAGGCCTCCTACTGTTGCTTACCTTGTGAACCCTAAAGGTTTCAAAGACTAAATAGCCTGTGCAAAATCATTAGCAATCAGAATTATCAACAATCATTTACAATGTTCTTAGAACTTATATTTATAGTAAAAGACACCATAAAAGCTAAACTAAGCTGAACTTTATAGCATAGCTTAAAACAAAAAGTAAAACAAGAGGATGGAAAAACCTCTACTGAATAACTTTACTTAGCATGAATATAGATGTGCTACAGTAATGTGAACAGTAGCACACCACAATACTCGTGAATGGTACTTCTACAGTAATATTGCTCCTGCGTCAAGTAAAATTTTGAAAGTAAACCCTTTCGTTGGTAAATCTTGCTGCTTGCAGTTGTTCTTTTTGTCATTATGGCGTGAACATAATGGGAATAATTCACAAATTGGTTTTGATACATTAAATGCTCCAAAGGGATCTTTTTGTCAGTTTTTATACTGAAATTTATGTTCATAAAAATTCTTGCTAACAGGGCCTGGGGCAACCATTGGGGGTATGTGTGCTACACGCTGTTCAGGTTCTTTAGCTGCGAGGTAGTTGCTCTGTTTCATAGCTCACTAGTAAAGTGCTTCAGTTTTACATTTATTATAATTGCTAGTGACTGTGCTTCTTAAAGAACAAAAAGCTGGTCCTTCAAAGTGTGGCTCACAGTAGCATTTTGTCATCAAGACAACTTTTACTAGTTAATGTTTTCTATCCTAATAATTATGTCTTTCACAGTTTAAGCTCAATAAATAGACACTTCACTTGCATGCAGCTATGGTCATTATGTGGATTACTAGCTGTCTGTGTCAAGCAGTTTTACAACTTAGATTGATAGAAACATTTTGTTAAAGTCTGTGCAGTATGATTTACAAAGAGAAGAAAGTTTTGTGATTAATTGAGTGACTAAGGGCCATCTAACCTTATCGTTGGTCTCCCTGAAGGCTCTGGCCCCAATATAAACATGGACGAAAATTCTGTTCGCCAGAGTTCATGTTGTTGAAGCCCCTTTTAAGAGAGCTGGCTAGATCTTTAGGTTTGGTTGAAGTAGTGAAAAGAGCTTATATTTTTCTTACGGAAGTAGGATAACTGAATCAATCTCGTTTGACTAATGTTTCGACCCGCTTCTTTTACCTTTTTAGGAAACTTGAAGCAGTTGCTAATAATTTTGAGAGAAGAAGAGGGATTTCTTGTGATTGGTATCTAGGGAGATACGGAAATTATTTGATTATTTATGAATATAAGTAAACTTAAGAAGGATGGTGTGCAAGGATTGGGCAATCTAGGTCTAAGGAGTACATCTCTTCTTGGGAAATAGTGATGGAGTTTCCCTAGAGAACAAGCTTCCTTTGGCATCTCCTGATTAGCTTAAAATATGGTGTTTGGGAAAATGTTTTGGGTGCTAATATTAGTACCAGGGAGACTGAATTGATTCCTTCTGCCTTTGGTAAGCTGTTTCTTAAGGGTTTCAGTTTCTTTTCATTGTTGGGGTATTATTTGATGTAACAGTGGTTTGACACAATGGGTCCATGTTGACATTAGGATATCTTTCAGGCGTAGAGGTATTTTTGTGGAGCATGTGAAGAAGAAAAGTGTCAAATCCTAAATTTTCCTTGTAGTCTGTTTTTTCCTTGGTATCTAGGGAGATATGGAAATTATTTGATTATTTATGAATATAAGTAAACTTAAGAAGGATGGTGTGCAAGGATTGGGCAATCTAGGTCTAAGGAGTAGATCTCTTCTTGGGAAATAGTGGTGGAGTTTCCTAGAGAACAAGCTTCCTTGGGCATTTCTTGATTAGCTTAAAATATGGTGTTTGGGAAAATGTTTTGGGTACTAATATTAGTACTGAATTGATTCCTTCTGCCTTTGGTAAGCTGTTTCTTAAGGGGTGCAGTTTCTTTTCATTGTTGGGGTATTATTTGATGTAACAGTGGTTTGACACAATGGGTCCATGTTGACATTAGGACATCTTATAGGCCTAGAGGTATTTTTGTGGAGCATGTGAAGAAGAAAAGTGTCAAATCCTAAATTTTCATTGTAGTCTGTTTAGGGCATCATGAGACAAAGTTTTGGGTTAGTTTTGAGCCTTTATTTGTGTTTTATTTAATTTGTTATGTTGTTAGATACATTTTTATTTTATTTTATTATGATTTGGTACCCAATAGTATGTGGTAATTTTCAATTTTGCTAGATATGGGCTGTTAGGTTGTCCTTGGGTCTTCTATTGATGGAACAACTTTTTTAAACCTTGATTGGGTACAAGTTCAGCAATTGTGACGCAGCCCATATAGAACTAGAATTTATGGAAGAATTTAACAAGAAGCAGCCACAGAAGAGAAAGTTTAATATTTTAATTTTGGACTTTCCTTTAATTTTTGTTTGGATTTTGTGCAATTTACTATTTACATGACTATTATCACTACTGTCACTGACACTACTGCAGTACCTATTATTTTTAGTATTTTCTCTTTTAATCATTTATCTGGGTGATCAAGATTAGAAAGGATTTGCGAATCAATATTTTGTCTCAAGTACGGCTTCTCTGGGAGTTATATAAATAATTTGTACCCTTTAACGATGGAAGACTTATTGGATATTTAATTGACTATTGTTGTTTCTGTTTCTTGGGTTGATTATTTGGGGTTTTCTTGGTTGATTATTGCCTTGAATTTATGCTTGCTTGTTTTTGGTAGCTCAATGACTAGTCCTTTTTGTACAATTTTTCATATAAAATGTATGTGAAAAAGCTGCTAGTTTAATGGTCAACATTTGGATAATTTATTTAATTAGTTGGATTTGAATAAAGGATTTTTTTTGGCATGTAGGTATGGAACTATGCGCGATAATGTTATCAATCTCAAGGTGTGTATTTTCTCCTTTTATGTCCAAGGTAGATGTTGAGTGTTGTATTTTACATGTTACTTTGTTTGCAGGTTGTTCTAGCCAATGGGGATATCGTCAAGACAGGATCTCGTGCTCGAAAAAGTGCTGCAGGGTATGTTCTTTGATCTTTTCAACTTCTTTCTCTTTCTTCTTCTTCTTCTTCTTCTTCTTCTTCTTTTCTTTTTTTTTTTTTTTTAATTTTTAAAATTTAAAATTTATTTATAAGTTATCATCTCATGTAAGAACCATAACATAAAATGGAAAATGAATTGCCAACAATATTATTAATAAGTACTTAGAGTAAACCTTCATGGAAAATTAATCTCTCTAAGTTACTATTCTACATATATCTTTAAATTGTGAATGGTCATAGATATTGGCATGCTTTCCTTGAATTTCAGTAGAAGTAACCTTCATCTTTTACTCACATTGATCCACTGGCATTCTTTTATGGTTATTATTTTGTGTTCTGGTGTTGTAAATAAATTCTGTGTCCGCTTAACTTTACTTCAAGTAGAAACTATATAGTTCATCATGACATGGACCAATGAGAATAATTATCCCCATTCAACTGAATGCTATTATTTTGTAATTTTCCTAAGACGTGACGAAACTATATAGGAGAAACAAGGATAAGGTATTGTATAACTTTAGACCATTGTGTAAGATGGAATTCGGTGCGGAGAGAATGAAGAGAAGGGTGGCAAATCAATTGGGTCAACTGAGGTGCTAAAACTGATGAGACAACAACAATTGATAGAGGAGGTCAGATGTCGAGTTTCGTAGGGCCAGTGTTGACGTGAAGAGAGAGATGATCAGCAAAGGGGTTTGATTTGGGGAGAGAGAGAGAGAGAGAGGTTCCAACTCAGAAATGGCTACAAGTTTCCAAGTAGGGCTTCTGAAGAAGTTTGCAACTAGAGTCTCAGATGTTCGATGTGTGAAGGAGTGAGGTGTTTAGATGCGGCTGGTATGACAATGTCGAGGTCTGCCATTGTGTGTTGTGCTTGGAATGTTCTGATGATGGCTGGTGAAGCTCGTGCTCTGATACTATCTCAGCTGCTAGGGAAAAATGTGCATTGCTTACCAAAAAAATTATCACACGTTTTTATACAAAGAAATAAATATCAGACCCTAATTAATGTAATGACTTAAATACCCCTATAGTAAATACTAAATAACTAAATACATTTCAGTGGAAGTTTGAATCATGATGTGTTCTATCTCTCATGATTTATTGATGACCCACTGTGACACATGACCTCCTGGTCTTTGGATATTTACTCATTTTGTGTGTATAATTTTTATTGATTTGAATGAATATTTTTTTTCTAGTTGCTAATATGTAGTTCAATTATTTTCAGCTAGGCCACTCTGTTAAAATTTGAAATTACACATGTGCTAGGTATGATTTGACACGCCTGATGATTGGAAGTGAAGGAACTTTAGGCGTGATAACAGAAGTTACTTTATGCCTTCAGAAAATTCCGCAGTACTCAGTGGTACTAGTTCTTTTTTGTATGCTTTTCTTTTCATTGTTAGTGTTTGTTGCATTTGTTTCCTTGTAAAGATCGTGTATTTTTAATTCTTCCATCATTCTCAAAACCCGAAACTCATGCACTTGTGCAATTTGTGTCTTTATTTTCTAGTTTGGGTGTGCTGTGTACATAATATCTATTTCTTAGTGCATATGATGTCTCAAAAATTAAAAATCTCCGCTTTAGCTGAGGACCTGAGGTCAATGACTTATGGGATGTAAACTTCAAACTGTCCCCCAGAAAACAAGCATAATGAACTTGAGGATTCTATTCTGAAAATTACACGGTAGATGTTGTTCTAGGAAGTAAGGACAGATCTACTAGGGGTTGGGTCTGTTTCCGACTTTGAACATCCAAATGTATTTTGAATTTTTTGAACTAAACACTCTTTGGACACATGTGATACATGCATGTCTATTGCTTAGACACGTGTGAGAAACATCTAGGAGCATTCGTTTGAAGGGAAAAAATTGAAGGCAAAGATAAGAATAAAAAACAAGTATGTTTTATTAATATTAAATCCCTCCTTTGGACTTTTAACATCTGAAAACCTAAACCTTTTACAACTTAAATTTTATAATTTCTCCTTTTTCTCTTCTTTGGTGAAAGAGCTCCTCCAATCTGTCTCATGTCTTACTTGAAGGGTTATCTGTGTGTAGTCATATACATTTTGAATGACCAAGACTATGTTACAGGTTGCAATGTGTAATTTTCCAACAATTAAGGATGCGGCAGATGTTGCTATTGCTACTATGTTGTCTGGTATACAGGTCAGAGTTCTGTTACTAAGTTTGTTTTCTGTTGTGTCCTTGCATGTTCCACTTTGATGTTTTAATCACTGAAATTCATATTGTTTGTTAATTGAAAGAAAGAGATGCTGACTTTAGAGGAAATAATAATGTAAATGCATTAACCCATAATTTCAGAACTACGAGAGTTAGATTCTATACTTAAATAACAAAACCCTAATTACTAAAATGCCTTATGCTAAATATAAATAGCACGCAAACCAAAATGAAACTTTCCTCGCCCTCTTGAACTTATAATGTGAGCATAGTGAATATTGAGAGTTTGTTGAGTTAAAATTGAAAGCACACAAAGGTACAATTCTTGATGAAAAAGTCTACAAGCTGCAAAGGAGAGGAGACAATTGTTTTTTTCAAAAACTTTTTTGAATAATAACCACAGAACCTGTTAAAGTGTTTTAGGTTTTTAAAATAAAGAGTTTCCACTTACTTTTTTTACTTATTATACTCTATGTAAAGCTTTTAGATCCATTTTTTGAATGTCAATAGAGAATATAGTATGGTTTTTAATTAATTTTATGGACTAATTTAATGGGGATGATGTAATGTTAATTACCTGTTCCTTCCTTTCACAAATGTTCTGTTTATAATATTGATTAGGTATCAAGGGTGGAGCTATTGGATGAGGTCCAAGTGAAAGCTATCAACATTGCTAATGGAAAAAACTTGCCTGAAGCTCCAACTTTGATGTTTGAATTTATAGGCACAGGTGACACCCAATCTCTTTTTTGTGGTGGACATATATGGTTATCTCACTGCAGACTGCACAGAAGAAGAAAAATTGTTGTCTTCATTTTGACTTTATATTTCATGAAATTTCATTAATCTTAAAAGATGAAAATGAAGATTGTTAAATGGGATGTGTCTCTCGCTCATAGAGAGGCAGTCTGGGAAATGACCAGGGATATATTTCTTGATCCAAGGATTTCATGCTGAGCATGAAAAGAATATAAGAAGGCAACACCACTTCAATGATGAAAAATGTGATGCAAGGGATTAATCTAGAAAGTGAGCAAGAGTTCTCTATGTTGGGAAGTTTGTCTTGAATAATTTGACATATACAATGTTTTTGTCTGGTTAGGTTTATGTCACTATATCTTAGTTTTGAGCTTTGTTGTTGTTGTTGTTTTTTTTTTTTTTTTCCCATTGTTTTGCTAACTTTTAAACTGTATATATTGTTTAATCAGAATCATATTCACGTGAGCAAACACTAATTGTTCAGAAGATTGCCTCTGAGCATAATGGTTCGGATTTTGTTTTTGCGGAAGATCCAGAAGCTAAAAAGGAACTTTGGAAGGTATTTTGTCATGCGGTTGCTGTATCAGTCATGTCCAGGTTCAATGTTGGTGAAAGCTTGAGGTGCATTAAATTGCAAAGGCCTCCTGGAACTTAGGCGCAAAGCTTAAATGGGCGCATGATTGAAGTAAAGCATACATTTTAAAAAAATAATGAATAATGATAAATGATTCATAATATATAATAAAAAAAGTTTAAAATCAAAAGACAAAATATTTAGCCTTTTAACTAAAATGGTTAGTCTTATGCAATTGTGCAAAAGTTCATAGGTGCAAATTTTGCGTAGGTTTGTTCAAATTCATAGCTTTTATATAATTTCTTGTGTGCTTTACAAAGTATTCAAAACCATGATATTTGATAGCCATGATCAAAATGAAGAACATGTTTAAATCAAAATATCCCTAAATGAGAGAGACCAAAATGATTAGAATGGTAAGTAGTAGCTTCTATGCATAACAATCTAACATATGCGATGCAGTGCAATACTAAATTGTATTCTTATCGAGGGCCCATTATTTATCAAAAAAAAAATAAAAATTGTCATCAAGGGCCCATTTAATGCTAATATGATTTGAACATTAAAATTAATAAATTATCTATTTTTAAAAACAAAAATAAAAAGTGTGCTTTTAGTTTATACGCAAAATAGCCTGCTTTAAGCGTGCTTTTGTAAATGCGTCTCTCTTTAACTACTAAAAACTCTTCTGTTGTTACACCTTGTGCTTTAGGTGTGCTTTTACCAACGCAGGTACATTTGTGGGTTTATAGCTTTTAGGTTTTCTCATTTGCACGATGCTTACTTTACATTTTCCATCCATGGGTTCAAAGTTTTAATTTATCCAAAAAAGAAAAGATTTCATCATCTATAATCACCAATCAAATTGGCCGGTCATACTTCCTATTCAGATAGTATCACCTTTAACAAAATGTCATAATTCATTTTACTTTTAGCTGCATCTTCTTTATTTGATTTTGTTTTTTTAACTCATGGTTTGAACTTGAATTGCATTTTCTATATTATTTCCAAATGCTGTTGATTTTCTTGCTGATCATTTCTGTGAATCCACAATAAGACTTGATATAGTCATCATAATCTTTTGTTTCTATCGTTGCTAAGTCCAGTTATTGGTTGCTTTGCATGTAGATAAGAAAGGAGGCACTTTGGGCTTGCTTTGCGATGGAGCCCAGTTTTGAAGCAATGATATCGGTCAGTTCATTGTTTTTAAAAAGAGAATTATATGAATTTGACCTTCTGATAAGGACTCGCAATGTTTTTTTTTTTTTTTTTGAACAAATTATGATGATTCAGTGTCATTGTTTCTTAAGATCTTGAGAGCTAAGCAAATTAAGTGGGGTTATGATCTTATCCACTTTTATTTATTATTTCTTGTTTAACACAATAAAATGATACACATAAGTTTTTGCTTAGAAAACACTATTTTAAAGACATTCTTCTTTTATGAAATTTACATTCAATCGGACACAGTCTTATTCACGTGTGAAACGTAATCATAGAGTTCTAAATTGTTCTAGATGGGTTCGAGGCACAAAAGGGTCAGCAAAAATTCCAATTTCCAATTTGATAGCATTTTAAAACATTTCAGCTTAGATCCGGTTAAACCTATTAACCAATTGACCTAATGGTGAACCCATGTGAGGTGTTTTTGCACACTGCAGATCCTTAATTAGTCGCATGGTTGCACCTCTGTTGCCCTTTTTTTGAGTCATCAATAAAAGTTCTTTGTTGATAAAAAAAAGAAGCAATTTCTTAGCAATTGAGACTCATTTCTCAACTTCATCTATTTGTCTCTAATCTATATGCAATGTATTCAATCTCTTTGTGAAATCAAACCTTGGTAAGAAAAATGGCCACCCTTGGCCATATTTTGGTCCCCAATCTTAACTCATTTTTAGTTTTCTCTATTACTAACTGCACTGCTTGTGGTTAGAATCAGTCTTACATCAAAACCTTTTGATTCCAAAGAATATTTCGATAAGTCTAAGTTTCTAATTCATCAACTCCTCCTGTACCTTCATCAGTTAATCCTTTAGCATGAGTATACATAGTTCCACTGGGTCAGGTTGTTGTATTCCTTAGTCAATTTATTCACAGTCAAGGATAAAACTTAAAAGACAGGGCTTAGTAGAAAGCCCTAATATAATTTAATTTAGTTTAGTTTATTTATATATTTATATCTTTTTCCACATAAATCTTTGTTTCTTGTAGGATGTATGTGTTCCTCTATCACATTTAGCGGAATTGATATCTAGATCCAAAGTGGAGCTTGATGCATCACCATTAGTGTGGTATGTTTGTTTTGAATGAGTTTGCATCTAGGAAGCATGGATACGGATACAGGATACAAGTATGATTCGATACGGATACAGGATACAAGTACGATTCGATACAGATACGGCGATAAAACAAAACTTAAAAAAGTAAGTACGGGGTACGCAAGGATACATTTTTAAAATAATTTTTTTTATATAATTTTTAGTAAGGTCATATGTATAAAATAAAACATAATGCAAGAGTACATTCATAAAATATTTAGTACTAAATTCTTTAATATCAAAAAGAAAATTTTATATTCATCAAAGATTGCGTCAAAGAGCAATCAATTAATAACCAGGTATACTGACAAAGAATTAATTGCGTCAAAGAGCAATCAATTAATAACCAGGTATACTGACAAAGAATTAACAACAAACAATAACAGAGGATTCAATCAAATATTCAAGAAAATTTAAAGAACAACAATAAGCTAACAAAATTAAGCAATGACAACGATAGCACTAAGTCATAATATCCAAAATTAAAAAATAAAATAAAACAACAATAGATAGAAATTAAAAAATAGAAAGAGTGATTTTTTTAACACATGAGAGTGAGCAGCCCTTATAGAAAATCTAACAAAGTAGAAATTGGTCTATAGGGAATAAATAATGACAATACACGCCCCATAGAATATGAAGAGACATAGAAAGAGAGGGAGAAAGAGGGAGAGAGCATTGACCTTTGAAAAAATATAAATATAAAATAAGAAAAAAATTGGAAAAAAAATTAGATACTTATTTGGTGTATTAAAATATAAAAAATAAAAAATAAGAAAAAAATGGAAAAAAAATAAATAAACTGGATACTTATGCGGCGTATCCTTCCTGTATCCCTCACTTATCCTCCTATATCCCTCAAGTATCCTTCGCGTATCCGAAATTAAAAAAATAAAAAATTAAATCGGATTCTTATTTGTTGTATTTGATATGTATCTTGCTGTATCGGACGCGTATCCGTGTCCGATACGTATCCATAGGTTTGCATTCTTCTAGGAGATAAATACTATTTTCAAGTACATTATGTTTCTCAATAAGCTTGGTTTTGTGGCATATTTAAGACTTGCTTATTATTCCATAAATTGTGTTTCATATGCTCATAAAATATTCTCCTTTTTTGGCTTGTAATAACAGCACAGTTGTTGCTCATGCTGGTGATGGAAACTTCCACACAGTGATTTTATTTGATCCAAACCAGGAGGAACAACGGCGAGAAGCTGAGAGATTAAACCATTTCATGGTGCATACAGCTTTGTCAATGGAAGGTACCAACTCTATATTATTCTTAGTAGGAATCGGATGGCTTGTCTTTTGTCTGTTATTTGTTAGCATCTTAGGCTTTATGAGAAATTTCAGGCGTGGAAGTTAGGTATGTTATTTTGAGACAATCATGCTGCTGTTATATAAATTGGTGAATGTTAAAGAGAGACTATTTTCTACTTTAAATTGATGATATTATGATAATTACTGTGCCAACTGTCATGAGCAAGCCAAGTTTTAAGGTTCTTTGTCCAGGCTGTATGATAACTCATTCGTAATCCAAATTATTATTACATAATTTTAAAATCCAATAAAAAGTATGCTCCAATTAAGATCTAACCTGGTAATATTGTAGTCATAATTTTGAGTTGTTTTCTGAAGGTGTGTGACCTTACAGAAAATAGTGACTTGTTAGGCTTAATTTCACTTTTATCCTCTAAACTGTCACTATTTATTTATTTATTTATTTATTTTTTCTGTTTCCATCCCTAAACTATCAATTTGATGTGTTTAGTCTCTTAAGTTTCTGATTTCAAATCATGTAGTCCAATTGGAGATGATTGTACAAATCAGTAACTGTTGAAGAGCTTAATTTGATGGTAAAAAAGGTCATTTCAAAATGTGAACAATTTAACCATACTACCAAACACCTATCAAATTGGTTGTGGGGTGTAGTTTGTTCAAAATAGTAAGAAAAATGAGTGCTTGGTTATATAGTTTAAGTTGTTCAAACTTTGAAATAACTTTTTTGCCCCATCAAATGATCTCCAATTGGACTACATGAATTGAAATCAGAAACTTAAGAGACTAAATAAGATGAAACTGATAGTGTAGGGATGAAACATAAAAAATGGTGATAGTTTAGGAGATAAAAGTGAAATGAACCTGACTTATTATAATTGCTTAGTTGCAAACCCTAGGACTTCCTTGACCGTGTACAGCTATGCAACCAGTGGTTTTGTGTTTAATTTATCTTCTTTTCAGTAGAAATTTTCTGAAATCTTCCAGTATTTGTACTTCAACGGCATGGAAGTTTCATGTCACACAACACCTTAACATGCATTGGTTTCTGTGATTTTGTGACCATGCAGGAACATGTACAGGAGAACACGGTGTTGGTACAGGGAAAATGAAGGTATGACACTCATATCTATTCTATTATATAAAGCACATAACTCAATTTAGTTTTTAAGCTTGGTCACACAATTTCGATTTCCAAAAATGGTTTTCAAAACCAACCCATATTTCTCATTTGGCAAATTGCCCAAAAATTCAGATATGAAATTGCACAAGCATAGCATGTGCACCCACCACCCTAGTATTTGTTAAAATGAAGACCATTTCAACTATCAGAGTCAGATGCACACCACCTAATGCTTTGGCACCAGAATCTCCACATGACTATTATAGGCCACTCTAAAATTAAATTACCATATGATGTCACTGACCTAACAGACCTATGTTTTTTCTTGAACCGAATCTCTATTTTTCAGTAGTTGTCTTCCTTGTTTATTGTTTGAATGAGGAAGAAGTTACGAATAGGCTAATGATGTCGACTGTGTTGCAGTACCTGGAGAAAGAACTTGGAATAGAGGCTCTGAGGACAATGAAGAGTATAAAAGGAGCTTTGGATCCAAACAACATCATGAATCCGGGAAAGATCATACCTCCTCATGTTTGTTTTTGAGAGCTCTCTCTCTCATTCCAATTACTTCTAGTCATGCAACATGTGAAACTTGGTTTGTGGAGGGCCAAAAATGTCATTTTGAAACAGGTTAGGACTTTGGAAAGGGAACTGCAATTTGAAAATGAGCTGTTGTATAGAACCAATTAAATGTGCCATAAGGTTTGAACCCTAACATTCCAATATTGTGTTGTACTTGAGTCAATATACTAGTCTTTGGGACTGAATAAGTGTTGTACTTGAGTCGATAATGATTTTCTGTCATTGCTCCATTCATTTAGCTAGTTGTTTCAGAAGTGGATTTGAAAGAGGTTGGTGGTAAGAAACTCTCCCTTTTCATTGGGTAAATGTGCTCGAATAATTCTGCTTCTTTAGTTTCAAGAATAGTGTTTGTCTGGATGTTCAAAAATTTGTGTGCGTGTTGTTTTGGGCATATCCAATGAACACAATTAAATGTTTTAATTTTGATTTTACTCCTTTTCAAGTTTGGAATACCTTGGACCCCGCTGTTTTGTCTTTTGTTGATTTTGTAGAGGACTTGCCTTCATAGTTCTTTTGCTTGCTTTTGCCTTGATGTTTTGTGCAGTTTCGGTTTAGGCTACTTCTAGTTGTTAGACTAACATTTGTATTCTTTGCGTTGCCTTGATGCTTTTTAATAAAGTTGGTTTATTTATCAAAAAAAAAAAAAAGTTTGGAATACCTACCTTTGCCAAACACCCCCGCACTTTGAGATAACTAAGGTTTGGGACATAACATTTCCATAACTCGTATGGGGTTTTGTTTGTTTTCTTATGTGGAACCCTATTCAACACGTGACAAGCAGATAAAATAGCTTCCCCTAACATATTCATTGGTAATCTTGAACTAATTAGCATTGCATTCATCATCTCTTTAATTGTTCTGTTTTTCGTTTCTGCTATTCCATTTTGTTCGAGAGTGCAAGGAGTTGTTCGTTCATGTATAATCCCATTATTTTCACGGCACTCTTTGAGTGGATTTGACCCATATTCACTTCCTCTATCTGACCTAACTCGTTTAATTTTCTTTTCAAGTTGATTTTTTACTTCTGCCTTGAATTTTAAAAACATTTGTTCTGTTTCATCTTTATGGCTAAGGAAATACACCTTACTATATCTAGAGTAATCATCTATGAATGTTATGTAATAGTGTTTGCCTTCTCTGCTCATGGTGTTTTTGAAATCCCTAGATCGGTATGCACAAGTTACAAAAGTTCTGTCTTTCCTTCTATTGATTTAAAAGGTTTCTTAAAATGTTTGGCTTCAACACATCACACATTTACCAGATTCAATACTTGCTAGATTAGGAATTAAATTCAATTGTTTCATCCTTTTAATAGAGGCAACATTCACATGACCTAGTTTAACGTGTCATAAATTAATAGACTCCACAATATAAGCAATAGAGGTAGAAACTTTATTCATAGCAACACATTAAGTACAAACACCCCCCATGAATAACTCTTCCTCACAAATTCCCCATTGCGAGTAGGGGTGAGCAGCGGGTATATCGATTCGTCAAAACCAACAGAACCGAATCGATCCGCCGCATTTTGGACGGATGCGTGATGTCGAGCGGACGGTTGTGGATTGATTTTCTCCAATCCGTCAATTTGGCGGACGGATGATAGATTTGAGATTTTTTTGGCCGCAACCGAACCGCCAAACCGCGAGTACCCTTAGTAATTTATAAGACTTTGTGTTTTCAATTTGTTTAAATATTTTGTTGGTGTTTTCAATTGAAAAAGAGTTCAAATATTCTGTTGAAAAAAAATTTTCAACTTGAATATATTTTTTGGTTTTTAAATCTAACTCTAAAAGTAATAAATAGAAAATATAATATATGCTGGTTGGCTTTTGTTTTAAAAAACATATATAAATGTAACAATACAGAGATATACAATCTCTACTATTGTTTTGTTCATGGTTTTGGTGGTTTGCATTGTTTTTATATTTTAAGAACCACAGATTGTAATATTTTATGTGAATGAGGCATGTTGTGATTGTAATATATGGATGAGGCATGCAGTGATTTTGATATTCTAAAGTTTTAAACTTTCTTTCTTTGGATGAGACATGCAGTAACTATAATATTTTTTTAAGTCATTAACTGTAATACTTTCTTCCTTTTTTTTTTTTTTTTAAGGAAGTGCACAGGTTGAATTATGTTGAAAATTTATAAAATTTCAAACCGCCAAACCGATTCGCATCCATCCGCCAAACCGCTAATCCGCTCAATCCACATCCGCCGGATTGGCGAACGGATGCGGATTGATTTTCTCCAATTCACCAATCTGGCGGACGGATGGCGGATTGGAGGTTTCGTGGCCGCAACCGACCCGCGCCCACTCCTAATTGCGAGTTAAAACAAGTTTATTAGAGTCAAACACAAGCTTAATACCAACTTTGTTCAACAAAGAATCAGAAATGAGATTCCTAAGCATATTGGGAACATGCAACACATTTTAAAGTACAAGTGTCTTTTCAGAAGTGAGTTTAAGCAATGCCTTTCCTTCCCCAACCAGTTCAGCAGTGCAGCCATTTTCAAGGGAGACATTTTCTCCCTTGCCCACTTCCTCATATTCAAGGAATATAATTCTGTTGGTACTAATGTGTTTAGTGGCCCCTGTGTCCACTACCCACTCTATGAGATTGTTAACTAAGTTTACCTCAGAGATCACAATTGTTATCACCTCAGTTTCAACTAGATTTGCTTGTGGTTTAGCTTTGTGTAAGTTGAAATCAAAAGCCCCGTGTTCGGACTTGCCACACAAAACAAGCCCATTTGATTTTCATCTGCACTTTGTCAAGCCTCTTGAACTTCCCATTCTTGTTGTTATGCTTCTTGTGATTGTTAGGTTGGTGATTGTGGTGCTGGTAATTATGTTGCTGATAATTATGGTGATTAAGGTAATTTCTGCAGCCTCGTTTACCTTTGTTAAAATTATGGAATTTCTCGGGTGCACTAGTTGGTCGTCGTTCCACTAGATTGGCTTTAGAGGTGAATTCTTGGACCGAGTTTGCTACTTCTTCCGATTGTGCTCCTCACTAGTTGGTCGTTGTTGCACCAGATTGGCTTTAGAGGTGAATTCTTAGACCAAGTTTGCTACTTCATCCGATTGTGCTCCTCAATCTGTATATGCACCGTCAAGTCTTCTATAGAAAGATCAGTTTTCTTATATTTAAGAGCATTTTTATATTCTTCCCAAGAGGGTGGCAACTTTTCTATAAGAGCAGCCACTTGGAAAGTGTCATCAATAGACATGCCCTCATGTAGTGTACGGGGAGCAGATATTCCGGCAAGCCCGTACTCCTTTCTTCCGAGCTCCGTTTATATCCGATCACCTGCGAGCAAATAACGGTGAGCTGCCCGGCGGTGTGTGGCCGGAAAAACCCTCCGACGATCAAGTTAGCACACACCTTAGGATAGAGAGAGAGAGAGAGGAGTGTTTGAGTGTAAGAATTCCTTACAGAATGTTCGTCTCCCCCGCATGGGGGGCGCAGATATGCTTATATACCCTCTGCGCCCCATATTCACTCCCAGTCATCTCCTGACACGTGGCTCCGCTATCCCATCTGTTAGCATAAACCTTGCTGAACATTACCTAATCTCAACTGCCTGCCTTCTCAGCTGGAGCTCGGCAGCCGAGCTCCTCTATCCATGGCCGTGCTGTGCTTCATAAGGGGAAACTCAATCAGTACGATGATGGTATGGGCGTGAAAATAATGCGCCAACTTCCTTGAAGCCATCATCAATGCCAACGCAAGTTTTTCCAGCGGCAAGTACCTCGTCTCAACCGGCAGCAAGGTCTTACTGACATAGAAAATTGGGAGGTGCTTGATTCCTTCAGCGCGGACTAGCACCGCACTGACTGCGTGCTGGGAGAAGGCAAGGTAAAGGTAGAGTTCCTCTCCCGGCTTAGGTGTAACCAACAGTGGCGTAGAAGACAGATATTCCTTGAGCTCGGCCAAAGCTCGGTCACACTCTTCGTCCCACGAGAACTTTGACTTCAAAGCCTGAAAGAAAGGGCGGCAGTGATCTGATGACCGGCTTATAAACCGATTAAGCGCGGCGGCCATCCCGGCCAGATGCTGCACGTCCTTAGCCGAGCTAGGCTGCTTCAACTCTTGCACGGCTCTGATCTGAGTAGGGTCTGCTTCGATGCCTCGGTTCGTGACTAGGAACCCCAAAAATTTTCCAGATCCCACACCAAAGGCACACTTTGACGCATTCAAGCGCAGCTTGTGCTTCTTTAGAATGGCAAACATCTCGGCTAAATCGGACAAATGGTTTGCCTCATGTCGGCTCTTTACCACCATATCATCGATGTAAGCCTCCATTGTCCGGCCAAGCAAAAGAGCAAACGTTTTGGTCACCATCCTTTGAAAGGTTGCCCCGGCGTTCTTCAAACCAAAAGGCATGACTCGGTAGCAGAAGAGTCCCTTTGGAGTCGTGAAAGAGGTGATCTCTCGGTCAGGCCTATGCATGGCGATCTGATGGTAGCCGCGATAGGCATCCAAGAAACTGAGCCTATTATGTCCAGCCGTCAAGTCCACAAGCTGGTCAATTCGCGGCAAAGGGAAGCTATCTTTGGGACAAGCTCGGTTGACTGTCTTATAGTCGACACAAACTCGCCACTTTCTATTCTTCTTGGGCACCACTACTGTGTTGGAAATCCACCGAGGGTAGTGCACTTTCTGAATTGCTCGTGCCTCAAGCAGGTTCTTCACCTCCTCTGCAACTACCTCGGCGTGATGCAGTGCCGATCTCTTTGTTCGCTGGATGACTGGCTTTGCCCCAGGGAAGACGCTGAGGTGATGGCAGATAAAACTTGGATCGAGGCCCGGCATGTCGTAAGGCGACCATGCGAAGACTTCGATGTTGGCAATCAAAAACTCAACCATCTCGGTCCTCTCCTGGGCAGTAAGGCTGGAACCGAGCAGGAAGAACTTATACGGCCGCTCTATGTCGAGTCGCACCTCAATTAGGTCCTCCACAGCTTTGTCCTCTGCCTTAGTGCCCACATCCTCCAGAACTCCTCGGTCTTCCGGTCCTTCGATCATTTGCACGAACCCTTTGGCAGCCCGGCTGCCGTTCACTGCCACGAAGCACTGTTTGGACATGACTTGATCCCCCCAGATCTCCTCGATTTCCCCCATAGCCGAGGGGAATCTCATCACCTGGTGGTAGGTCGACGCTACAGCTTGCATAGCGTGAAGCCATCCCCTTCCAAGGATAAAGTTGTACGTCGAAGGCACTTGTAGCACCCAAAACTCCACCTGCTTGACCACCGATCCCGCTTTGACCGGCAGGATAATCTTTCCCAAGGGCCACTCCGGTTGCGAGTTGAAACCAACCAGGAGCGAAGTTGCCGGAGCCAAGTCTGGCTCC